CCGCCGGCCCGGCGCCGCTGTACCATACTAGCGGCGCCACTCCCGGCGCGACCTGCGCCACGCCCGCAGGCAGCCCCGGGCCCACAGGGGCCACCGGGAACACCGCGCCCGGCGGGCGCGCGCCCGCGTAAGGGGCGTAGTAAGGCGGCGCGCCATAGTATGGGCTGTAGGGCAGGATGAGCTGCGGCATCACCGGCACTAGCGCCGGTCCCTGCCGCCCCGGCCCCGCCGCCGCGGCGGGCGCGCCGCTGGAGCCCGCGAGCGGGCCCGGGAGCGCGCACGCCGCCGGGGACGGGGGCAGGGGCGACTGCTGTTGCTGTTGCTGTTGCTGGGGCGGTGCGTCGCAGGGGCCGGGCGCGCCTTGGGAAATGCCGGGGCCGCCGCTGCCCGAGGCGCCATCCAAGGCATCAGCGCTGCCCCCTGCCCCGTCCCCTGAGAGGGGGAAGGTCGGCTCCGGGTGGTGGAACTTGCAGGTTAGCCCAAAGCCACAAGTACCGTGGCGGAGGAAGAAGGTGCAATCCTGCGGCAGCGGGGGGCAGAGGGAAGGGGGGGTGCGAGGTTGCGCTACCCGCTCGCGAGCAGCCACTGCCGGGCGGGCCTGCGGCCGCACGAGGTGCCAGCGGCCGCGGCAGGGCGCACGCGCGCATCGCAGGACAGGGCGGGGCGGGGCGAGGGCGCCGCGAAGTTCGTCGGATCGAGCGCGCGCCGAAAGGGCATCAGCGCTGCCGGAAAGGTCCATCTGTCCCTCGGGCCGCGCGGAGGGCCGCCCACGCGGCGCGCGGGTGCATCGAGGCTGCATTCAGGCGGGCGCGGCGCGGCCCGCGCGCGACGCACCGGCTCGCCCGGCCGCACTGGCAGCCCTCTGCTGTTGAGCTCGGCGGGCGGCCGCACCGCAGGGTGGAAGAAGCGGCAGCCGTGGCCGTACTGCGCGAATGCGCGACATGTGGGGCGCCGGTGGTGGCGACGGGGAGGGGTGGGAGGTCCGCGCAGGGCAGCAGCAGTTCCTTGAAACGTATGCATAAGGTTCTTCATGTGCGGGGAGGTCAATGCGTGCGAAGGCGAGGCGTCAGCTCCATCCCAGGCAGTGCCTGCAACAGCGGCGGCGGCAGCGCGGCGTGTCGTGCGGGTGGTGCCACCAACCCCGCGAGAGATCACGCACCGCACATGTCCCCGTCCTCAGGTAGTAGCTGCAAGCCCTGCGGCCGGGCTCCCCGTGATCTGAGTCTGCCCGATGGACCTGACCCGCCCCGGGCTCTCCCGATGCCTCCGAAGTGGCATCGTGCACCTCATGAGGCCCTTGTACCCCGTCGTCAACCATGCCCCGCGCCCCTCAGGGCGAGGGGATGCGAGGGCCGCACTGCACTGCGCCGTCCGCGGGGCAGAGTGGCAGCGCGCCCCGTCGAAGTGCGAAGCTCCACAACAAAAGCCCTGCTGTGTTCTGCACAGCAGCCCGCCTCCAACGCCAACACCCCGGCCTCCTAAAAATAGAAATGTTAAAGTGAAGGCCAGCTGAACCAGAAGCTAAACAAAAACTTAACTATGTAACGTATGCGCGACAACATCAGGGCTGTGGCTTCCCGGCAGCCTGAATGACCGCTCCCCTCATCAACCAGCGTTGGTTCGGCACCCCTGTTATGATTCGGAACCCGTTCACATCTTCGGCCGGCAAAGAGATGGTTGGTTTATCTGCAAAATGTCCGCGGCAAGGTGTTGGTTCTGCCAGGATCAGGGGGCTGCACGGCTGTGCAGATGTGCCCATTGGTGGACAAGCCCGCCGGTGAAGGGATGGGGAAGCAGACGACCGATGGAGGCTCATCACCTAGCTGTGTACCCTCTGCCCAACCATGATCGCAAGCGGGACAAGCTGCATGCGCCAACGGGTCCGGCTCCCCAGCTGCGCTGCGCCTGATTTTGTGATCCGCCAGCCAATTGACGGGTGAGCGGCGCCAACGGCAGAGCACCACACAGCTGGAGTGCTGTGTGGGAAACATTTGAAATGGTTGGCTCCCCGTTGCACCTGGCGGCCGCGGATTTGCTGCTGGGTGGGTTTCATCTTCGCTGCTGGGTAGTTTATGACGCCATATCACGTGATCAAAAACCTGCCGTTGGACTGGACTTGGAACCCCTCCGCCTCTGCAATCATCATACTTATCCTCTTTATGCATGCTTACCGTCGTCCACTACATGCAAGGGGGAGCAGGACTGCCTGCTTGGAGCGCTGCGGCGGTGGGCGTGCCCCGCCATCTCGATCTGGGCGCAACAACATTGGGGTGCAGGGTTCTTCTATTTGTTTGCGTCGCGCGTCTGAAATCCTGACTACACCTGAAACAGTTCGGTGTGGAGTGTCATCTATGACAGCACGCAAGGAAGAAGATCGGTGATCACAGTAATTTTTGCTTCGAAGTTGCAGGCGTGCGTACCTTCTCGCGAACATGATCACTATCTGCTGAAGTCTATGGCGCAGCGAGCACGTGCCCTAGCGTTGTTTCGAAGCCTTCTGAGAGAGGCCCAACGCGTGCGCCTCTGGGCACCACCACCACATGGGCACCGCAGATCTGCAGCGCGTGGTGCTCGTCAGCTCAGGGGCACGTCGCAGAGCGTGCCTGCGTCTGCTCTGTCTGATCAATCCTTTACGCCTGCCCCGCCTTCGCCAGATGCCGACTCCCAACCGCACCGCGCTCGTGCGCCGCCGCGCGCGCGAGGGCTTCGAGGCGGGCCGCGGCGCGGCCGGCGCTGAGCTGGCGGGGCTCATGCGGCTGGGCGAGGCCCAACTGGAGAACGCCCAGGTGCAGCGGCGCGTGCTGTGCGAGCTGCAGGCGTTGGGCAACCTGAAAGGCCCCAGGGGCTGAAGGCGCTGGGCACCACCTCCACGGCCACCTCGCGGCGCGGCCAGCTCCCTCGGGCTCGGCCGGCTGCTGCGCATCGCGCGTGCTCGTTGCGCCGCGCTGCTTCTCGAGCCCTGGTCAGCTTTGGGATGTGGCCCCTCGCCGTCATGCCGCACATGCGGGTGTTGATTGAAAACCACAGCTGACTTCTTAACACCCCAGCCGCAGTTAGTGGTTTGATTTCGTGGCTGCTGTCTTATGGGGTGCACGTTTTGCTCAATTTTGCAGCCAGCCTTGATTTCCTTGATGTGGCATCCCATTTGGGATTGTGGCATCTCATGAGTGGATTTGCAGTTGCCGCTCTCGCAGCGCCAGAGCGGCGCGCATTCATCAAAAGGCGTGCTGCTGCGGGTGCGGATGCCGCTGCTGCGGCGAGCCGCCCCCGGCCTTGACAGCGTCCGGGCCTGCCGCCGCCACGCGCCCAGCCCCCGGCGGGCCGCCCAGCGCTCCGGGCAGCGGTGGCGCGACCCTCGGCGGGGCGCCGGGCGGCGAGGGGCAAAGCGGGCTGCCGCCATAACCCCGGAGCCCGGCGTTCAGCGCATCTATTGCGTCCGCCCTCGCCCCGGCTGAGCAGGATGAGTCCGCTGCGGCGTGCAGGCCTCCGAGGGCCTGACCGTGCTGCTGCTGCTGCTGCTGTTGCTGCTGCTGTAACTGCGGGCCGCCTGCATGTGCGTTGGGATCGCCGCCGCCGCCCCCGCCGCCGCCCGCGTGCCAGCCGTGCTGCAGCGAGCTCCTGAGGGATGACTGGCGGTGCTGCTGCACGGCGGCGGGAGGGGGTCGGGGTGGTCAGAGGCGTCACTCGGCACGAGAGCTTGGGGTTAGTTGCGGTGGACAGCTTGGTCATTGGAAGGATGCTCAGCCAAAACACATTCATACGACAGCATGCAATTTGGGCTGAAAAGGTGGGGGGCATGCACAACGAGGGGGGCGCTCAGAGTGTTGTGTATGACTGTCTTTTGGAGTGCGTTTGAAAGTCAAAGCATGCTTTGAGTGACTTTGCGTGTGCCCGCATGCCCACCTGCTGCAGCTTCATGCCAGCCGATGTGCGAGGGGGCGACACGTGCATCGGGGTGGCCGCATCATCAAACGCGGCGCCCTCTGCCTCCTGCAACCTGCACGCCGCACCACGCGCCCCGCCTCCCGCCGCTTGCGCGCCCGCCCCGCCGCCCCAGCCCGGAGGCTGCGGCGGCGCGCCCGCCGGGGCGCCGCCGCCCCAAGGGAGGCCGCCCCCTGCGCGTGCTGGGAAGAGCCCCGGCCCCGGCTGCATTGTGCGGCTGCCGACCGCGACGGGCGGCAGCTGCTGGGGGTGCGGCAGTGAGTGATTGAGGTGCGCGTTCTGCTGCTGCTGCGGCGGCGGCGGCAGGTGATGGGGCGTCGCCGTCCCTGCAGCTGCCACTGCCGGAGCGGGAGCGGCAAGCCGCGGGGGGTTTGACCCCGAGGCAGCGGCCAGCTGTTGAAGCAAGTGGCGCGGGCTCGTCGCAGCCGCCGCAGGCGCTCCCGTGCTGCTCCTGCGCCCGGCGGCCAGCTGCCCTGCCCGCT